ATGAAAATTCATTGAAGGATATCAAATTAGACATAAACATTTTTTTAAGTTTAATTAAATAAATATGATATACAATATTTACAATATGTACATAATTAATAGGAATGTGCAGTTGGTAAAAGTAGAGGAATTGGCAGTTAGCTAGTTTTGCGTAACAAGGGGAGAAAGAGAAACGTACTCCCAATAGTTCGTTCTCGTTAGGTCCTCAGTGTTAAAAAATATATGTATGTACAGAACATGGAGAAATTATCATTTTGATCAGTGATCAACACAGCTGTGGGGGGATGCAAATCTCTTTGTTTATATAAAGGAAACAGTTGGGTCTTTATATATGAGGGTTGTAACCTAAAGAACAACAATGCTATATAGACCTTTCCTGTCGTAGTAAAGTGGGGGGGGGGAATGTTTGTTGATAGTCCTGGCGCGAGTGTGGTGGTGTGGGTGTAGTGTGAGTGTGGTGGTGTGGGTGTAGTGTGAGTGTGGTGGTGTGGGTGTAGTGTGAGTGTGGTGGTGTGGGTGTAGTGTGAGTGTGGTGGTGTGGGTGTAGTGTGAGCGTGGTGGTGTGGGTGTAGTGTGAGCGTGGTGGTGTGGGTGTAGTGTGAGTGTGGTGGTGTGGGTGTAGTGTGAGTGTGGTGGTGTGGGTGTAGTGTGAGTGTGGTGGTGTGGGTGATGGTTGGTGGGCGTGGTAGTGTTCTGATTTAAATAGGTCTTTAAAAAAAAAAAAGTGTGTACTGGTAAGCTTCTCGCTGGATAACCAACCATAAGCTTTCACATATCCCTGGTCTAACCTGCAGTTATTTTTCTTGTATCCTTTTCAAAACTCCATTTTTATTACACTTTAAATTTGAGGTAGAAAATCAGACGACGTATTTTACCCAAGGGGGGGGGGAATAAGAACTTGTTTCAAAGCCATACCTTAACAATGGAAGAATTTTCTATTGATAAATACGGTAGAATTTTCCGCCACATAAAGCGATACAAGGGAGCTATTTAGGGTACAATAGGCCAGTCAGGCCCACTAGCATTAGGGGTCAAATCCTCTCGCTAACGACTCGTAGCGAGGGCTGACTATAATAATCACCATAGGGACAATACTATTTCCCACACCTTTCTGTACTTCTCCTTGCCTGGCCTCTACATCTTCTCCCTCTCCCCCCCCCTCCCCCCAATCTTCTTTCTTTCATTCCTTCCACCTCCCATTCAGTTCTCTTCCACCCCACTTTCGCCTCTCATTCTTCCTCCCTGTACTGCGCCGCACGTCGGGTTGGTCATGAAAAAGGGGATCGAAATCCATCAATTTAAGGAGGCCGTAAACCATACTAATAACTTCTCTCTTCGAAAGGTCGCAGCCTCACTAAGCAGCAGATCGTGGCCAGGAGAGAGCAGCCTAGCGGTCTCTTTCTCCTCTCTTCAAGCCTCTACCTTTCTACTCCTCTACCTTTCCCGTTTTCTATGTATAAAATATATTATATATGTAGACCTGCATCAGTATAAATGCACCTAAATGTGTATGCGTTTATTTACGTGTAGGGTTCATTAAAAATGGGTAAGACTGTGTGTGAGAGTATGGGACTGTTTATATTATTATTATTGGCAATAATAATATAAATTGAATATTTCAAATATTCATGTTTACATAAAGTGATTTATAAGATAATCTGAACCCACACAGGTTTCATGAGAGACCGGGCCGCGGGGACCTTGAGCCCCGGAACCAACGCAAGGTAACCCAAACACAGCCCTAAACACACACACACACACGCACATACACGCACGCACTCACTCACTCACTCTCACACACACACACACACACACACACACACACACACACACACACACACACACACACACCCTTGGTCCAAGAGCTAGAGCTCGATCCTGCAAGCACAAATAGATGAGTGTACACACACACACACACACACACACACACACACACACACACACACACACACACAACACTGGCCTGTTGTGAAGAGCATCTGGAAATCTCTCTTTTAATGGTGAACAGCCATGGAATTTTCAGTTACAAAAAAAAAAAGGAAATTAACACATTTTGTTCTATACTTCATGTTCACAAGGACGATTAAAGCTTCAGCGTAGTAAAAGACTCTAACTTTAACCGTACCTGTGTACATATTTTCCTAACATTCTCATCATTCTACGTATAAAAATATATTTGTTTCCTATACTTATTATGGTATGAACAAAAAAAATTCTACCCATGTGCTATTAAGTAACTGCTCAGCACATTTTAAGAACTGAAACTCATTTGCATCAGGAATACCTGTGTTGATCAGCACTTGCTTACTCTCGGGAAGAAAGGCAAATAAATAATGCAATTTGATCAGTCCCCCTTCATAACATATTTTTGGGTCCTGAGCTTAATTTAAATAAAAAAAATTTTCAGGGAAATATAACCAAATAGATGTACATTTCCCTAGTATCAAACCGACACAACCTCCCATAGAACACAAACAATTCACAATCATCTTTTGTCATTTCTTGTTTCACACTATTTAGTAAGAGTCAAATGAGATTCATGTACAGTTCTCTAGTAGCCTTGGTGACACCATGCCAAGGAAGGAGGCAGACTCCATTGGTCCTTTTCCATGACACTCGTCAGTCCAAGTTACAGTACCCTTTTAACCAGAGAATATTATAAAATTTGTATTTTGGTTAGGTCAGGAATTATCTGGAAAAATTGCATGCATATATATATATATATATATATATATATATATATATATATATATATATATATATATATATATATATATGTCGTACCTAGTAGCCAGAATGCACTTCTGGGCCTACTATGCAAGGCCCGATTTGCCTAATAAGCCAAGTTTTCATGAATTAATATATTTTCTCAAATTTTTTCTTATGAAATGATAAAGCTACTCATTTCATTATGTATGAGGTCAATTTTCTTTTATTGGAGTTAAAATTAACGTAGATATATGACCAAACCTAACCAACCGTACCTAACCTAACCTAACCTATCTTTATAGGTTAGGTTTGGTTAGGTAGCCGAAATAGTTAGGTTAGGTTAGGTAGGTTAGGTAGTCGAAAAACAATTCATGAAAACTTGGCTTATTAGGCAAATTGGCCCTTGCATAGTAGGCTGAGAAGTGCGTTCTGGCTACTAGGTACGACATATATATATATATATATATATATATTTGATAGCAGTCTTTCTTGTAAACATATGTTGAATATGACCGAAAGGGTAAGATTAATGATTCTAATACTAATTCTAACACTTTTTTGAAAATGTAAGGAGTGCCTTGCAAAACGCATCTCCAAGGCGTCAGACCATAATAAAGTGGGAAAATAAACTTTGGAGAGTTAATTTTTCAACTACCCTCAACATTGACGAAAAACAGAAATATTGAGAAGATTCGTATTAGAATCAGAAATCTTACCCTTTCGGTCATATTCAACGACATTTTATATATATATATATATATCATCCTTTTGAAGATGTATTATTAAATACGAAAATACTTAAGGAATTTCTGTCTTAATCCATCCTTCGTGGTCTGACATTGTTATATATATATATATATATATATATATATATATATATATATATATATATATATATATATATATATATATATATAAAACACTAAATCCCATCTAAACAACACTGCCAGAATTATTGTGTCAATGTATTTTAATTATGATTACAAAAGAAGAATTTGGTTTAAATACCAAATAAATAAATAAATGTAAATATAACTTTAATTTCATTCTCTGCATAAGTTTAGTACATGCCAAAAAAATCCTGTATGTTTTGTGCTGTGATAAGGTTTTAAATCAAGTTATATATTAGAAAGAGCCAATTTTATAAGAAAACAGCCAATTTATGTAAGCTTTTAGCTTATTTTCGTTTGAAGTTTGTAACTTCGACACAAACAATACTTTGATTTTTTTCTTTATTTAATAGAAGTTTAATGAGAGTGGATAAGAACTCAATTAAGGTTGCATTGCATTCCGAAATAATTTCTACAGTTTAAGGGAAGTATTGGGGTTGGTAATCTGTATGAGATGGAAAAGTAGTTAAGTTAGCTTATGACAACCAGGTGGTGGTTCGTGCTAGAGCCTGTAGAGATGGGATTGCTTGGTTAGTCTCGTGAAGAGTCACAAGGTCGGAGTTTGAGGGAAAGACAGGTGTAGGTGGAGGTGAAGGGCAGGTGGAGGTGCAGATGAAGGGGGGTCTAGGGGAAGGGCAGGTGTAGGTGCAGATGAAGGGGGGTTTAGGTGAAGGGCAGGTGTGAGTGCAGGTGAAGGGGGCAGTTTAGAGAAGGAAGGGAAGTAGAAACCAGTCAGCAGAGGGCGGGGCAGGGAGGTAGGAGCCACGGTCGCTTCTAAGCAACTTTTACACCCATCCTCCCTGTCCACCTGGCTCTGACCCCAACTACCAATTAAAGGCTTTAATTGGTACTAGATAGAGAGCCATTACAGACAGGCCTATTGTCTCTCCCTGGCGGTACTGGGGGGGGGGCGAGTGGAGGGATACGGCAAAAGTGAGGTGGGGATTGAAGGGGGGGGGGCAGGGAGGGGAGATTGGGAAATTGGGTTGGGAAGTGAAGGGGGGGGGAGGAATGACAAGGGTAGAGGGCAAACAAAATTGGGAGAGAAAACAGGGGATAATGAAGGTAGGAAGACTAGGAATTGGGAAGGGGGATACGGGTGTGAAGCGGTTATAGGGAAGGTGCGTGGATGGGGGAAGGAACTGGGGTAATGGGAGAGATGGAACGGAGAAAGAATCGTCTTAAAATTGGCAGAAAATAGACCAGAATCTGCCCCAGGTAGAAGGCCACCTGGTTTCCTTGATTGGTTACTTAAGGGAAAAAATGGCAGGTTTTCATGTTTTCTTTTCGTGTTCGTTTAACCTTGAATGTGTTACACCTTGACCTGGTGTAACTTGGAAATAATTCTGACGTTTTCATCTGCATTAATGGAGGCTGTAGGTGGGTGTGATCGGGTGTATATGGGGCGGGATTGGGTGTATATAGGGGCGGGATTGGGTGTATATAGGGGCGGGATTGGGTGTATATAGGGGCGGAATTGGGTGCGTATGGGCAGTGTTCGGTTGTACATGGATGGTGTTGGGAGTTGTATGTGAGTTGGGAGTGTTTGTACCTGGGTGAGGAAGACTATGTGGGGTGGGTGTGTGGGTGTATGTGTGTGTGTGGGGTTGGGGCTGGATGTTTGGGGAATAAGTGTACCCACACACATCATGAAGACGGGGGTGTAAGAGGGTGTTTGGAGAGATGGGGAGAGGTGTACACTCCCCACTTCCTTAACTGACGTCACTATTTCTAAGTGCTTTGGCTTTGCTCTGTGTCTTCGTTACTTAAAAATGGGGGAGTTTTCGGAGAGACCAAGTCATTAGTAATAAAAAAATGTGTATTAAAGCAAGTTTGAAAAAACAAATTGACTCTTTTTTTTACAAATCGTAAAATCTGATTGAACGTTATTTACATTACACTTCACTAGCCTATTGTATATCTAAACGTGTAGGGACTAGTATATGTGGGGGGGAGGGGGTTATACATGCTATAGACCACCTTCAGATCTTTTACCGAGGTTGCCTGCCAGGCTCAGGTCATCATTGCTTCGTGTAGGCTGCTGGTGCCTCCATGTAGGCTGCTGGTGCCTCCATGTAGGCTGCTGGTGCCTCCATGTAGGCTGCTGGTGCCTCCATGTAGGCTGCTGGTGCCTCATGCAGGCTGCTGGTGCCTCATGCAGGCCGCTGGTGCCTCCATGTAGGCTGCTGGTGCCTCATGCAGGCTGCTGGTGCCTCATGCAGGCCGCTGGTGCCTCATGCAGGCCGCTGGTGCCTCATGCAGGCCGCTGGTGCCTCATGCAGGCTGCTGGTGCCTCATGCAGGCCGCTGGTGCCTCATGCAGGCCGCTGGTGCCTCATGCAGGCCGCTGGTGCCTCATGCAGGCCGCTGGTGCCTCATGCAGGCTGCTGGTGCCTCATGCAGGCCGCTGGTGCCTCATGCAGGCCGCTGGTGCCTCATGCAGGCCGCTGGTGCCTCATGCAGGCCGCTGGTGCCTCATGCAGGCCGCTGGTGCCTCATGCAGGCCGCTGGTGCCTCATGCAGGCCGCTGGTGCCTCATGCAGGCCGCTGGTGCCTCATGCAGGCCGCTGGTGCCTCATGCAGGCCGCTGGTGCCTCATGCAGGCCGCTGGTGCCTCATGAAGGCCGCTGGTGCCTCATGCAGGCTGCTGGTGCCTCATGCAGGCCGCTGGTGCCTCATGCAGGCCGCTGGTGCCTCATGCAGGCCGCTGGTGCCTCATGCAGGCCGCTGGTGCCTCATAGATGAGATCATCGGTGCTTCGAGTTGGTGGCCAATTCATGAACTTAAATCATTAACACTTCAACTGAGGTTAGCGTTTCTTCCGTTAGGTCACCAGGTGGTGCACTGAGGGGAACCCGAAGATGGTGAGAGCGAGAGTGAAAGACCTCACCCTCCAACCCTCTCGTTCACTGCACCCAACCCACCTATACCCAGCTACAACAGGAGGCACCTACCTCCTGGAGCAGTTTCCCTCATTCACCTGTAGGTTAGGAAGGCTGAATGGCCTGCACCTCTTCCCCTCTCGAGGGGAAGGGTAGGGGGGGGGGAAGGAGTCTGAGACGGGGGTGGGGGAGGTGGGGGCACTGAACACCAGATTGGGGGGAGAGGTGTTGGGGGAGGGGAAGCAACAACAGATTGGGGGGAAGGGAGAGGGGAGAGAAGGGGTAATCAGTCCCTGTATCCCCCCCTAATTCTCTACGCCCTGGGGGCGGAATTTGACCCCGTCAATAGGCCACCGCGGAAGGTCTTTGTTTACAAGTTTATCACTGAAACAGCGTCCTGAGCCTCTCAGCTCTTGCACGGCTTGTTGCTGATCTTGGCCATGTTGCCCTCACTCATCACCATGAACTGTCTGTTCTTCTCCTTGGGTTCCCGTCTTACGCCCTTCTTCTTGAGGTGCTTCTGCACCCGCCGGCCCCGGACCGCCAGGTACTTGGCGTTCTCCTCCACCGAGATGTAGGTGTAGCCGGAGCCGCCCAGCGTCTCGTGGAGGACGCACCGTAGGGCGTCTCGGGGCTTGTGCAGGATCTTGAGGTCGGTGTTGTTGAAGGGACACACGGGAGACCTGATGAAGTTACTCTTGACCCCTCGGCGGTGGCGTCGTCTGCTGCGCATGTGGCGACACTGACTCACTCGCAGGGTTTTCTGCCGAGAGAAACAAAGAAAACGTTAATGAAGGGTAAATTCATATATATTTTTATGATTTCAACCCCGAAAGTGTTGAAAAGGGTGAGTTTATTGTTAAGGTTACATCCTGTGAGTGAGCATATACCTCTATAGGAGCATGTAAGTCACCACCAGCCCCCCTCTATAGGAAAAATACCCGCTGGGTTCAATCCTGTCACCTATACCCTATACATGCAGCTGGGAGTCTCCGGTTCATCAGACAACAGGATTAACATTTACCAACCCTTGAACTAACTTTTATCTTTCTGGTGCAAAGTGAGGAACGTCTTGCAAGAACGGTGTATTAGCGCACCCCCGCAAGCACAACTAGGTGAGTACACAGGGGTCTAACGGCTGAGTGGACAGCGCTCGGGATTCGAGTCCCAAGGGTCCGCGTTCGATCCCCGGCGGAGGCGGAAACAAATGGGCAGAGTTTCTTTCACCCTAATGCACCTGTTCATCTATCTTGAGATCTTGAGGTTATCTTGAGATGATTTCGGGGCTTAGCGTCCCCGCGGCCCGGTCCTCGACCAAGTCTCGTTTTTGTTACACACCCCCAGGAAGCAGCCCGTAACAGCTGTCTAACTCCCAGGTACCTATTTACTCCTAGGTAACAGGGGTATCAGGATGAAAGGAACATTTTGCCCATTTGTCTCCGCCACCACCGGGGATCGAACCCAGAACCTCAGGACTACGAATCCGAAGCGCTGTCCATCCAGCTGTGAGGCGTCCTTAACCTAGCAGTAAATAGGTACCTGGGAGTTAAACAGCTGCTACGGGCTGCTTCTTGGGTGTGTGGGGGGGGGGAGAATTTGTTAATGGACAGTTTAGCGGCGGGCCCAAAGAGCCAGAGCTCAACCCCCGCAAGCACAACTATGCGAGTACACAATCGCACAACGTATTGGTATATATATTACATGGGAAAGATTAAGAGGATGCACTTATAGATGCCGTGGTTCACATGTCAGGCTGCGAGCAGCTACGTCTAACAGCCTAGTTGACCAGACCACCAGCCAGGAGGCACTGTCAGAGACCGGGCCGCGGGGACGTTGATCCTCGGAACCAACGCAAGGTAACCGCAAGGTAAGTCATCCCGATTCGCCAAGCCTCTAAGCCCCTCTGCCTTCCTCCTGTCCCTTGCCATATCTCAAACCTATCCCCCATCCCTCACTCCCTCCCGGCGTTGAAGAGCCCCGCAGTCCGCAGTTCGTCTCCGTCATCGTGTCGTGAGCGATAATTATTGCGCTTCCCGGTAAAATGGGTCTTGACCTTGGAACAGCAGGCTTCGTTGGCTGCTGAAGCCTCTTCCTGAAGCACGTATTGGTACCCTTAATACACGTCTCGACTATCCCTGTCTGTCGGCCTTCTGCCAGCCTGCCTGTCCCCCCACCCTGCCAGCCTGCCTGCCTGCCTGTCCCCCCACCCTGCCTGGTGTCCTACCTGATTGCCCCTACCATACCTACCCCTATAGGTAACACTATATGCAATGGTTACGCCTCGAACTAAAAAATCCACGATGTGGAACAGATCCACCAGCTTCAACCCAGACATCCAGACAACACAACGTGCTAAGCTGGACTCGGCAACTTATATAGAGGCATAGACCCCGGATATAATTCTAATTAACAGGCATGAAATAAAAAGAAAGGACAGAAGATAAAGATATTCAAGTACCAAACTTACCAGGTCAACCTCGGAGCAGCAATTGCTGTCGGAAGAAATTTACCGCACAGACTCAAAGATAATTTTCAGGAAAACTTCCTGTCAATTGAAATCCAGGCGACTAAATGGACAATCGTTATTGGAACGTGCCACTAACCACCAAAACGACCTTATCTACCTGTTTCATTCAACAGGAACAGGTAGGAACAGACCTGCCTATTTTACTGGGAGATCTGAACGCCAAACACAGAAACCTGGGACCTGGGAAAACCCATCAGGCCTGGGAAGCCACACACACTATGATAAGGAACGGAAATCTAACCCATCTGGGTCATTCGAAAGTCTGGCACACAGGCCTAAAATGTAGAACATTAGAACTAAGGCTTTCAGAGAGATTTACCGCCACACACTGCAGCTTCACAGGCAACAGAGCAGCTAAACTCGATATTGGCAGCTACTTGGATGTCATCATCGAACTGTATAGTGGAGTGCCACAAGGAAGCTGCCTCTCACCCACGCTTTCCAACATATATACAGCTGACCCGCCCCAACCTCAACATGGAGAATATATCACAGACGCTGATGATATCACTCAATATAACCAGAACCATCAAAGTCGCTACTGGCCAACAAGACCAAGGCAGCAATTGAATTCATAAACAACTTTGAAAGCAATGGAAAATAAGTACAACTCGACAAAATTTTCAGAGAATACAGATTGCAAAAAAAAAATAAGAAACCCAGACCCTGTTATCCTTGACAACCGCCGGATCCAATACGAATACAGACAGAATACTGGAATTCAAGATTAAAGGAACAAGAATCAAAATAACCGTCAATGATAGAATAAACAAAGCAAAAACAGCCATATGAAAACCGAGGGGTTTCCGACGTCTCAGCACGATAATACAGCTACACTTACATAAGGCTCGAGTCTGGACGCGTCTCAAATATCCTCCAGTACCACTACATACCTTGAAGCTTTTGAATGTTAATTTTCTTTAAGTAATGCAAAATAAAGCGCTAAGAAGAGCAGCAAAACACCGTCCACCATGTGATCAGACAATCCAGGAGCTCCATGAGCTCCTGAACATACAGGCACTAAACATCAGACTGCAGCACCAAGCCATCAGGGTGTGGAACACCATCGAAGTGTTAGAGGACCCAATGTTAGAAGGATTGCTGCAAGATGAGACGCCCCGCTCCCACAGTTGGTGGCCCAAGAGCCTCGATCATCTCGATGGAAACCAAGCCGCACAATACATAATTTGTAGATGAAATGCTAATCAGAAATCCACCCCTCTCTCCTGAATAATAAAAAATAATAAACATCCTTAAACATTACAACAAAACATGTACACACGCATTTGAGTGAGTATATGTGTATAATGCTGTACAGTATTCATATATAGACATCTATATTTCCTGACATACATGTGAAGAACCTCACAAACACTCACAACTCCCTGACAAGGAGAAAACAAGCATAGTTTACCTGCCCGACACACACACATCGTGTCAGCAAGGCAGACAGCCCGACTGCTATCATAACCCACACTGTATTTTCTTTTCCCAAACTTTACTCTTCACTTGTTGTGCAATCCCATTTTCTTTAACCCCCCCCCCAAAAAAAAATCAAAACTTGCCCTTCTCCCTCCCTCCCTCCCTCCTTCCCTGTATCCTACGCTCCCTCCCTACAATGTATGTAATATATATATATATATATATATATATATATATATATATATATATATATATATATATATATATATATATATAAATCCCTATTTCCCTAACACCCTACCTCACTGCCCCCCTTCCCTACACCCCCCCCCCCCCCCGGCTGCAACAGGCACTTGAGGACCACCTTTCACTAAACGCTACGTTGCAGCAAGGGTTGCTGGCCGTAGATCACACTCCCGGTGGCAAAAGCCCCTCATTAGGCCTGGACCACCCTTATGCTTCCCCTCCTCCAACCCTCACCCCCCTGCCCATCCCCATCTCCCCCCCCCCCCTCCGGGAGAAGGCGATGGGTCCGTGTTAATTACGGTCCGCAGTGGTAATTACAGACCAGGGAGACGAGCAGGACGTGCTGGTTCAGAACCCCTAGGTCTACAGTAGGACTTTCAGAGAGCCCTGAGATTACAGTAGGGTTCCCTTCCAGACCCCTAGACCTATAGTAGTGCTCCCTGGAACTGTAAGCATACAATTAGGGGCCCCCCGAACCCTATAGGTCTAATGAAGATCCACCCCTTGGAATCGCAGGCTTATAATAGTAGGTATATCTGAGAGACTAGGCCTATAGTAGGTATAACCCCCTACCCCCCCCCCCCCCCCGGCCTGCCCTTTTAAGTGTCTTCTGGTTCTTTTGCTAAGCTCATTCTCCTTCGTTTCTCTATCATGCATTTTCTCACCTCGCGGTTCTTCCTCACATTCGGTACGGCTGTGTGTGCTTCTACGACGAGGAAAAGGAGAATTAATAGAAGCTATAGTAATAAAAACAGTAGAAATAGAGTAGTTGTAGTAGAAGTAGTTGAAAATAGTGATCCTGTCAAATGTGTTTACCTGAGCTAAACACACACACACACACACACACACAATTAAGTACGAGAGATTAGTGGAAGAACAAATTAGATGAGCTAAGTGTTTGATTCAAGGTAAAACGATGAGTTGGGAGATGAATTAAGGAAAGCCCAAAAGAAGATGTCAGATATTAAATGTCAAGTGAGTGAGAAGTGAGTGTGTCAAGTGAGAAGGAAACCATAGAGACTCAAATGGATGGTCTGAACCATAAGATTGGCTACACTTAAGCCCAAGTAGTCATGAGCTGGTAGGAAAATAGATGGTGAACGATGCCCACCAAATAGCAATCTCAGAAACCATGAAAGTGCAAACAAGGAGGATAATGCCGAGTGAGAGAAAGCTAATCATTGAAAGCCCGAGACAAACATGGGATGGGGGGAAAAACCTGACCGTATGTGTATTGAGGACCTTCGGTAAATCTGTGAGTACTAGGCCTAGCGGAAACTGAGGGGGGGGGGGGGGGAGGGCTTGATGAGAATGAGGCCATACACCCCTATCACAGTCACACGGAACTATTGATTTGATGAAGATTTAGCCACCCAAAAGGTGGCACGGGCATGAATAGCCCGTAAGTGGTGGCCCTCTTGAACCATTACCAGTATCAATAGATGATGCTGGGAATCTGTGGAGGTGCGACTGCACCCTGCGTGACGGGAGATGTCTCCTGGACTAAATGGTGACCAAATGGTGTCCGAAAGCACCAATGTTGTTGTTATAGATTCAGCTACTCAGAA